TGATTAATAGGAAGGAATCCTTGGATCTAAATTACTTAATAGTCGATACTGGTTGCTAGGGTGAGTCTATAACTTTGAGTAAGCTGTTCCTGAAATTAAGATTCGTTTCTTTATCATCCAATAAGTCGTAGTTAGTGATATGATTGTCAGATTATGGATACCAACTGCTTAGTAGTCACTTGTCTAAATGACTCGATATCGAAGTGATACACTTCACTCTGACTAAAGGCTAGTAGTCTGTAGATTTTCGTCATGAAAATTCAATGTAAAAAAAGCCTCTCAGAATTGTGTTTTGATGATAACCTTACTCTATGAAGTATCAAGATTTTATCACATTTTTAATGCAAAAAATATAAGTGATCTACAGCTGTTGAGAAATACACATAAAAGTAGTCAAAAATTACATCAATAAAAATTATTCCACAGAAATTTAGTATTCAGTATTGAAATGTTACACTTTGCGAATTTCCAGATATAAGTGAGTGTATGGACATCTCGATTTCAAGTTTATTAATGAGCTTTGAAGTATATATATGCAAATATGTGTAGCCTCTAAACAATAGTATGAGCATATAAAAGTTTCTCATTACTGATTTCGAAACTTCAAGTAAAAATAATAGTCGAAGCCTATTTATGACATAACTGATCAGTTTTTTTTAAAATTGGTCTGACTTTAAAGTTGTAAGTTTCATTAATTTAGTTAAAACTCTAAAAAAATGAAAATTATCCATTGAGTCAGAAAAAAAGCATGTGATTAAGAAAGATAATGGAGACAAATGTAAGTTAACCCTTGATACTCTTAGATGCCGGCTCAATCTTCAAAATATTAAACGTTTGTGTAAGAGACCGAAGGTCCTAGGTTCGATTGCCATTATCGAGTTCATTTGTATGCACTGCTGATATATCCTATGGTACAATAAAATGGCCATTCAGTACTTCCCAGTTTTTAATGATGGTCTGACACTGATTATTACCATGATTTCAATGAAAAGTAAATCAGTTTGGATCAAGAGTTCAAAATTTTATCACTAGATCAACTGAACATGATTATTCTGTTTATTAAATTTAAAATTTCCAATCTAGATAAACAATCTCTTCATTAAACCATATTTTAATTTTTGTGAAAATTTACCAGTTAACATTTTTTTAAAATGATTCATATTTGTATAAATGTCGCAACAAAATAATTCATTTCTTTTGAATGTGAAAAGACAGAATGTACTAAATAAAACATGACTGTAGTTAAATTCTCTTTGTTCATAATCTAATAATTTTTTTTATACTTGCACTCAAAAGTGGATCATGATGGTTGTTAAAATTTACGATCATGAACTATATCTAAACCAAATAAGGAATGTACCGATAACGAGTGTACACAGACAGATATGTGACTGAATATTTTCATTTATATATATATATATATCAATTTGAATAAATTAGTTCAACGTCTGTATACATGTAATTCAATATCTGTTGTATATTTTTATGTATTTAAAAAAACAATGCCAAAATTAAAAAAAAATTAATTCAGTAAATTTGCACATTTGTTTAGCTGAATCATCTTATTCCCGAACTTGCATATAATTTAATAATACCAGCATATAAAAGAACTGCAGTTAATTACAAGTAATGTCAAGTATTAATGAACATCTAAGAAGGAAACGATAGATGAGTTAGTCGGATATGGTCATCAGAAATTCTTAGACAAAGATTTCTTGTTAGTTGACACTTGTCAGTAAGATGTACGTGTAATCTTGAAGCAAGTAATGCGTACTGTAATAGTGTAAATAGTGTTGTTTTAGATTTTACCACTAAGTTATTTGTTATACAACTGATCTTCTATAGAACTAGAAGTTGTTATAAGGTCAACGGATCATTCAAAAGTAAATAATTTCCTATTTGTCCAGTCTTTATGTGTTCCTGTATTACTTGATAACACTGAGATTAATGAATGACTATGTATTTAAATCAAATTGTTTTAATGAAAAGAGGTAAGTGACTATGGAGTTACCAATTATGTATGATTTTAAGAATACTATTCACGTGATAGATTAGAATAAATGGTAATTAGCTAAAAGAAGACTACGCTGAGAAAAATTTCCCATACAGATATGTTTGTGATAAGTTAGTGGATTGAATTCTCTTAGCTATAAGTTTTGAATCTGTCGTCATATCCTGCTCTAAATAATCTCACTGTTGCACAACTGATCACTCCTCTTCATCAAGGATTAGGATAGAACGATTTAACTTGGTATCTGTTATAGATATACAACATAGAGATAGACATATTCTTCATTATTATTGCTGTTAATATTTAGATATGTGCATGTGATTGTAAAGCCTGGATCATATCACCTACAGACAATTTACATGATCTCTGATTAAAAATATCTTTGCGAACACTTCACAACAGTTAAATGGCATTTGTATACTGGCTAAATATATAAAAACATATAATCAATCTGAAATTGTTTTCCTTTCAATCGGTGTCCGAATTTCGGTTTGTGAGCATATATATATACTTATATATATATATATATATATATATATATATATATATATATATATATGTGATGTAAAACAGACAATACAAACACCTGTTGCACATATTTTCATTTTACAGAAAAGACATAAATTCACATCTTTATTGATTATTTCATTTGAAAAGGTAGATAAATAAGCGTTCCAAAATTTTTAAACAAGAAAGATAACAACACAGATAAAGTAGATTCTGTAACAAAAAAAAGAAAAGAATGATAGTCATTGGTAAATCATAAATTGATAAATATAGCACAGAAAAATGAAACTGAAATTTCTTTGTTTATTGTTAAATTAGCTAATTAAATTTTTGCAATATTTAAACAAAACTGTTGAGGTCTATGTTAGAAATTTGTGATATATTCAATTCATTCATGATGTTTATGAATAGAAAAATAAGTAATATTCACGTTACGATTAGTTAGTACCTATGAAAACAGTGTAGTCAATGAATATAAAATTTATATTGGTCATTGATGATTTCGAGTGTTCGTATCGAACAAACCTGGGGATCACAACCCTTAAGAGTTCATGTGAAAATGAAGACCTTGTTAATAAAAGTTAAATTATTTAAACAAATTAGGTTGAACACATCCAGTATGTAAATATTTTTTACTTTTGTGACTTTCAGCTCCTTTAAAAGCCTAATATTACAAAGACTAATCTAATTGGAAACGGAGATTTAACAAACTTTAATCAGTGAATTTTAAATAAAACGGATCGAGAAATCAAAAGAATTACAGGATACGAAGTTATTTGATTAAACATAATTAAGAATTGTGAGTATTTATGTTTAGAAACACTACTACTAATAATAATAGTGATAATAAAACACAATAAGAATGATGTTATACTCGTGAATAATTGAATTTTAGAAAAAAGATTACACTAGTATGGTGAAAATAGTAAATGATTGTTTTAATCATTCCAAGTATGTCACAGTCAAATTAAATTAGTGTATGATCATGAGTCAGATTATGTAACAGATGGGAGTTTGAAAAAAATTGGGGTTATTTTACTACAGAATGATAGTAATCAAAGGAGAGAAAGTTTAATCACTCTATCTTTCTGTATACATAGGTCATACCAAAAACGTTTCTTAGCGGCTTCTTCTGCCTGATAGAGCAAAATAGTTCATCGTTGTCTGTTAATGATTTGGAATGTATTTTAGCAGCCCACGATTGGACTCCATTTAGAACGAATGATCGAGTTTCTTCTCCACTCAGGTCTATTATTACTTAGACTAAATCCATTCGTGCGACAGTGGTAGTAAGAAACCAAATACGGTGTTGTGGATGAATTTGTTTCATGCAATCATTTATGCAGACAAACATGAGATCGGGATGCGTACAAACAAAATGAAGTGAACTGGAAAAGTCCAGTCAGCCAACTCTCCATGAGCTGAAGAATGACTGAGTATTTTTTTAGTCAATCAATAATAGGCTAGACATGTAATAAGTGATAAAGCATCCCGACACAATCAAATATACAATAATCGATACTGTAATCGAATTATTACAAATACAAAATTATGGTCGATACGATATCGAATAATTTAAACGACCAACTATTGAAGTACAATGAATGAATGATGCGATTCTACAGTATAACCAATAATGAGTTTAATTTCACGATCCATTCATGTCAGTAATTTTCTTGTGTGAACATAACATTCTAGCTTTTTGCTAAGATATAACTTGTAGTATGCAGAACAAAAGTTGTTTTAGTTCAGTTATTGTCATGTCCACATTTCTCTCCTCTTTGTATTCTCAACATCCGAATTTCCAGATAATTTGTTCACTTACTTTCTTAATACGCATATGTATACATGTTTCGGTTGTCATGTAGTTTTGGTTGGTTTTTTTAACAAAACTTTTTCAAATATTCCATGCCGGGAATAAGTATTGTACTAAGCATATAATATTGAATAATGCCATTATTACTATTATTATTTTCAATTGTCCCGTCATCCATTCATCTTTGAACATTTCTGTTTATTATTTATACGTTTACAATAAATACACAAACACATTTAAATTTAAATTTGTGTTTGATATCAAAGAAATATATGAATAATATTTAAAGATGTGTTATATTAGTAAAATTCGTGAATGCGTCAATAATAAACGGTGACTTTGGGTCATTACACTATCAAAATATTAGTTGACATTTTTTATGGTTCAGGTTATAGAAACTGTGTTCAAACGCAAAAACAATTTTCACCTCACTTCTATCTAGAGATTTTATTGATGATATTGTCTAGTTGGACAATGTCAAGCTATACTACAAGACCAGCCAGTTTAAAAAAGTAACTCCAACAAATACACTAAGTCACTATGGTAATAGATTGTATTACTAAATAACTGTTTACAAAATAGTCCACATAAAATAGTGAATACAATTTTTACTTCATTCAACCAGGAAACATTTTAAATTACAAAAAATGAAGATAAAGAACTTACAAACTCCGCTGGTTGATTTGATTCATTTCTTCGTCTGTAGATAGTGCAAATTTGAAATTACAACTATTATTGCTGTTGCTTATTGGCTGATTTCTAAAATTTTCTTGTCTATTATCACTGGTTGCATTAATTCTTTGCATAAATCGATCATTATTAGTTGACGAATACCTGGTTGAAGGTGGCCATGCATATCGACCATCATGTGTGGCAGAAATTGGTAGAAATGTTTGAAAATTACTATTACCAGTGGTGGCTGATGATAAATCTTCTATTCTTGATGTACTTTCCAAAGATGTCGATCTTCTAGAATCTTTAAAAGAGAAAAGAAATTAAAGTAAAGTAAACTGTTGCAAAACGTAGAACAAAACTTCTAGTTAGCTTACGAATCCAGTCTCCTGTTCCTGAACAAATAAACTTAAGTGATAAATCACTGACTGACTAACCGAATACATTACTATTCAGATAAATTTAAATCTAGCTTTCCGGTCATCATCGACTGACCTTATTTAGAGTATCGTTTTACATTAGAAACCAGCCGTTTCGTCCTAGGATGGAACTCTTTACCAGTGCATATCCATAACTCCATGGAGGATGGGACCCAAGATTTGCTGATCTGGAGGTCACTTAACCAGAGCATTTACTAGTTTGCACTCTTATATTCAATCACTGTAACACTACTCAATCACCTCCCAAATTCATTCGTGAGTTACCGCTCCACAACCTATTTGGTTTAACCACATCAGTTATTAGAAATATAAGGATTGCTTCTCTCACTCTGATCGCCTTTGATTATGTAGCTTCAAACGATGTGTAACGTGATCTCCCGTCATGTAATATGATAGGCAAATTGTGATCCTAATCTAAAGGATTCGGTAAAGACCAAGGCCTTAACAATATCACATATTAAAAATTAAGTCATTTTTACTGTTTGGTTCTTCATTCCATCCAGCTTTGCTTCGTAAGAAACTTTTAAATTGTTGCTAATTCTTAAGTGAATGGTCTCATAAAAGAGCATATTTTTAAGGATGGTAAGTGGATATACTCAGTCGTCTGGACTGGAAATGTACAACAGAGTCTAAAACCCACAAATTTATGCTTAAATGACGTACAAACTACGGGAAACGTATTGATTGCTTCTAAAAACTTATATTCTACAAAATTTCTAATCAAAGCTGACACTTTACATCAAAACTGCTAAATTATACTACATTCCTAATAGCTCGAATATTATATACCTTCTCAGCCAATTGTACTCGTTACCATTAGTTTGAAATTGAGTCTATTCCATCCTGGTGGGCAACAATATTCATCATAATTCCTAACCTTATTCTTGGGAAATTATCACTGCTTAGCTAACAAATACGTCGAGTGATTATAAAAAATCAACACCCACTTTTGACAAAAGTTTGGAGCTACTAATAAGTAGTTGAAGTTTGTACAAATAAATTACTGTTTACCTTCATGTTACTAATGTAAATAAACATTGGCCAGCTTAATGAGACTTTTTGTTTGTTACATCATTACCACTAATCCTTCTTACTGTTATATCTATTGTCTTGATATGATTAACTATTCAACACAGGATTCCAAACAATATGTCCTAAATATCCAACAAATCTGCATACAAATTTATGCTTACTTCCGATTATAGTCTATCAGGTTGTGTCCTAACACATCGCACAATGGGTTTGTAAAAATTCAAAACATATTTATTTAAAAATCGTCAATGATCATAATATCTAGACAGATTATTGAATGATTATAAAATTCTCATTCTGAAGTTAATGATTATGATATCTAGTGAAACGGTGTGCTTGCGGCAACTTAAACACTATAAATCTATGCAATATTTCGCTTAACTATCTGTCATGTTTATACATTTAACACAATGAAAGAAATAAAAATAACATAGAATTCCAACAGCTTGTAACTATTTAACTGAACCTACTAAATACACTGTTGACTGAAAATTCCCCTGTACAATCATTAATCCATAAGATATGGTTGAGACTAATCATTAATTACTAATCTTTGCTTATTTTATAAATCATTCCGGAAAAAAAATCAATTTTGTACTTGATGAACTTGATAAATTATTGAATAATGCAATTTATTTTGTTTCTATTATTATAATTACTATTATTATTATTATTATTTTTTACACTAATGATTAGACTAATTAACATGTTTGCAGAATGATTAATTTTCACACACAATAAAATAGCAAAGATAATGTTATTTTTATCATCAGTTCTTTAGCGTACAAGTGATTAACTCCATGTTATCATACAAACTTAGCCCACCTGTTTGTCTTCTGCTTTTTTTTCAATAACAGTAATAATCGTTATTATTACTGTTATTATTATCATTGCTGCTATTAAGAATACGATTAACAACATGATTATTGATGATATTATTAAAATATGTCAGCAGTTATGCAATAGTTTATCAACATCATTCATAACCCACTGACAATAATCGGAGATAGTGGGTGGCTGATATAACTAACAATAAGTTCCTTTTTAATTCCTAGTTAATTATCCTATTACAAAGCATTAATAAATAGTTCATTGAGAAAAAAAGATATCATGACTGCTTATATGTAATGTGTCTAGTAAATATCTGAACTGAGGTCAAAGCAGTGGACTTATCCTGCATCATTTTTATTAAAATAAATCTGTATGTCACTATAGAATTATGGAAATTGTTGGGTTTCAATGAAATCATAAATTTAGATTACTAACACCGTTAGATGTCGGTTCAGTGGTCTAGAGGTTAGAAGTTCTCATAAGTGATCAAGGGTTTCAACTTCGATCCCTACGTGCGGGAGTCGTGTATACACACTGCTGATGCATCTCATACTAGGATGGAAAAGCCGTCCATTGCTTTCAGGTTTCTAAAAGTAGCCTAACATTGATCGATTCATGATAATCTGAATGTCTTGAAAATTTTGGGATGTCACGGTTTTTATAGTTGAAAATATTTACATCACAATGAATCTATGATATAAAAGTACAAGGCTTGGGAAATCGGGGTTCGATAGACCTACTGAGATTTCTTGTAACTTTCTTAAAAAAATTACAGTACTTTATAGTTTATATTATGGATTGATCTTTCATTAATAACTGTTGAATACCGGTAGGTACTAAACGGATGCTTCGACTTAATATGGGCTTCCTCATGAATAAGCATTTCAGGTCTCGTTGATAGCACTTAGACTAGTGAACAAGCATCTTAACGGTATGTGTTTTAGCTTTAGTTCTTAACCATCCTTTCGTGATGTTGATGATTTAAATCAGACAATCATATTTCTCAATATCACTGCTAAGAAACGTACTATTCCGCAATTTAAATAAAAATATCAGTTTTTCTGATCATACTCAACGCATCGGATATGAGTGTTACGGATGTAAAAAGTTCACCTATCATCTATTAGTTCATTTCTGTTCTTCGTTGTACAGTTTAGAACTACATACAAATGATGCAAAGTTAAAAAATAACTGATGAATATATTGTTATCATTACATTATCTTACTATTTATGTTGATTTATAGGAAATAATCAAAAGAATGGAGTCTTGGTTAGTATGACAATTAATTTCCAATGAAGTGTAGATGTCTACGGTAGAGATAATTAGTCAGCTTTAGAATGAAATACCAGTTATAGTCGCTTACTTACATGGCTAAAATGTGATATTTAATTCTTTACAAAATCTTTATATTTTCAATTTTACAGACTTTTTGTGTATATTGTGTGGCGATACATTTTGTATTCACATTTATTTTTCTTCTCTGTTACACATTCAGCAATGATTGAAACGTTCATAAATAATGAGTTAGGTACTAATTGTTGTTTATATTCCAGAGATTTCTGGTTTCTTTGAGTAAGAGTGTTGTATTATTTTACAATGAAAAGAGACAAATTCAATATGAATTAATTTTTGATTATGTAATAGTTTGACTTTTAAAACTGTGCTGAGTATCAAAATATACTTAATGGCTCTTTAAACTTGGTTTCGAATTTCTCACTTCACTCATGGCTTCTATTTAAATTGTCTATCACGAATTACAACTTAGTTACAGTCTAGTTTCTGCACTTTAAATGCTTTTTGACGAATTTCGCTAATAATGAAAATGTGTAATTCAGTATATTTCAACATTTTTTGTTTTACCTAATTGTGAAATATGTCAGGTTTGTTTTTCTTGGTTAGATCTCTTACAGTGTATTATGTTGAACATGAAAAACGAATATCATTAGAAGAAAAAAGTTTATTTTTAAAAAAAAGAAGCAAACTGAATCCTACACTCACTTTCATTCTCCTCATGGACAACAATAGCAGAATGTGTATCATTCTTGACAGTTTCACTGATACAATCATTTATGGATGATTTGATTTTCATCCCACTATTATTATGATTATTATTAATGCTGTCATTGATAGTGTTATTTTGTTGTTGTTGATAATTATTGACAGAACTTGTGTGATTATTATTAGTTATAGCAAATAATGCATTTTGTTGATATTCATGTAAGTGACTTGTCAATGATGTTGATGATGATTTGATTTCAAGATCACACATTGATGAGTCACTTCCAGTCATTAGTTTGAATCATACACAAGTACATAAATTATGCTACATGAATAATAATTTTTTTGTGAACACTTATCACTTTTATTGTTGTTATTGTTTAGCTAAAAATAGATTAGTTCATGTAGATCGAGATGTAAAATTGTTTAGTGCATAGCATAATAAAATTGTCATGATTAATATTGATAATGATAATTCAAACAAATATTCCAAATGATCATTGATAATTGATTCTCACTGTTGTTTTATAATGCTTTGAAACAAATTAAAGAACCTGTACACAAAGAAATTTAAAAGGGAAAACAATATAAAGTCTATTTAATCGATAACATTTGGTAAACATACACAATTCAAATAAAATGTAGCATTTTAAACGATATTATTCTAGTTTTCTGAGGTTAGATTGTCAAAGAAAGAATCGAAAATATCTTTGGTTCTATTCAAATGGAATAGATAGATTGATAGATAGTTTAATGGCCTGCACTCTGACTCCTTTCTGAACAAAATGACTGAATATGCAATGAAATAAATCTCCCCTTTGATTTCTGTATATCATTCCTAGGCGAACAATGTTTATGCGATGGCAGTAATGAGAAGCCAAATACGGATTCAGTTGGATGAGTTTATTTCACGCATTTGTTAACTCAGGACAAGATATGAGAATACAAAAACGTCAAGGCAAAGCAAAGTGACCTGGAGAAGGTGAGTGAGTCATAACTAAGTATGTGGAGTCAAACAAAAATTGTCTAGACATTGTAAGAAGCAAAGTAAGCATGCACATACTCAAAGTCGAATAAAAATCACAACGATATGAGCGACCAACTGCAGAATGGATTAATTAATTTTTCTAAAGGCTGGGGCTCGACAAATTAGTACACACTGCAATGGATTACCTGACCCTTCTACTTGCTAACGAAGAAGTCAATTTTTTTACTGGAATTTCAACTGGAAAAATATTTCATTGTATAACGATATCAAGAAAGTGGACCATATCGTCATATTTGAATTCCATAATGAACTAAATTTTACAATATACACTGCCTAGTATTTAAAAATTCAAATAAACTTAGATTCTAAACTTGATCGGTGATTTTTTAAGTGTAAAGTACTCCAATAACAAACACTAAATTCATCTAAACTCTGTCCAATTTAATAAAGTTCATTCTAAACTTTTACCGATTTCGTTGTGCAAATGTATTGATAATCATTTTTCTATGGACTGTTATAATATATATGCCACACGAAATGTTGTTTCCTGTTGAAAGTGGCAACAATCGGTATATATATATATATATATATATATATATATATATATATATATATATACCAATCCACTATACACTAGCGTCGGAGATTACAATTCTAACTGACTAGAATATCAAAGAAGAAAATTTAGCGGAGGGTGATGACAGGCAGATTGTAGACACATATATATATATATATATATATATATATATATATATATATATATAGTCTTTTGAAAGAGAACCTATTAATCCACAATAAAAATGGGAAAAAAATCACCTTCATAAAAAACTGCCGACTGTTACCAAACAACCAATGATTAGAAAAAAAAAATTTTTTTTTGAAAAAATCTCATTATTTTACTTATTATTAGAATATGGTAAATTCTGTTTTTTTATCTGGTTTTGTTATTGATTTTCACAATTGTACTCTTGTATTAGTGTCATTATGGTTGTCTGTTGTATTCTTTGTTGCTGTGGTTGTTGTTGTAGCTACAATGTTTAATTTTTTCTGTGCATGTTGATAAAGAAGAACTGTCAAATCCCTTCATATCATTCCAGTACTACTACTTACTACAACTACTACCATTACTACTATTATTATTATTATTATTATTACTATCATTTTTATTAGCACTAGTTAGTAGTGGTTGATATTACTATTATAATAGTAATGATTAAAGTTCTAAGATTATACAATGTATTATCTACCAATATACACATTTTTTTAAGTATTATTGTATTTTTTTCTTCTTAGAAATTGTTCAATAGGACGTGACCATTGGAGTTGAACCTGGTCGAGTATAGGTAGTAACTAACGAAGACAAATGGGTGAGATTGCGCAAAATCTCTAGGTTGATCAGAGTTAGACATTAACACCGCTGGATGCTGTGCCAGTGGTCCAGAGGTTAGGCGTTCGCGCGCAAGACCCGAAGGTCCTGGTTTCCAATCCTGCCAGATGCAAGAGTTGTGGGTGCGCACTGCTGGTGAGTACTACCACTACTACTGCTACTTCAACTATTATTATTATTACTGTCATTTCCATTAGTATTAGTTAGTAGTGGTTGATATTACTATTGTAATGGTAATGATTAAAGTTCTAAGATTATACAATATATTATCTAACAATATACACATTTTTTAGGTATTATCGTAATCTTTATAATAATTCATTCTATTGAACTATTTCTGAAGATAAAGTCAGATAATAGAAACTATCCAATTTCTTGACAGTCAACTGCTATTTGCACACAAAATCACTAGAATTTTACACTTTTACACTTATTCGTTACATTTTCTATGTTCAGCTTTTTTTGTTATCTCATAATCAGTAATTACAAATTTAAAAAAATTAACTACATATTCAGTTATGTTGTATATGATATCTAAATTGTATTCACAATGTACATATATATTTGACTTTTCAGTAAAGTTCCTTTTTTTATCTATTTAACAAGTTTTAGTGATCATTAATCAATGCATCATTTTCACACTGAAGATATACACACGAAAGAATCAATGATGAAGGTAGTTATTCTGTGCTGAAGAAATATTTCTAAGAAAATTTGTTATTTTTACTCCTATTTATTCTTATAATGAAAGATGAAGATGTGAAGATGATGATAATTAACCAGAAAAGTTGAAATAGTTTCATCTTATCCATGATTATGGCTAGTGTTATCACGGAGGTCTGTAGGTCAAACACACAACAACAATAATATAGTGGTCTAACAATGAGTGATTGATGATTTCAGTGTGTAGAAACACCAATCTTCATAGCTCTAAATGAAAAAATCGTAAAACGTGCTCACTAGTGACTAGCTTCGTGAGGGAATTCTCAGAGTTCTAGTGAGAAGACGTGACCAGTGGAGTTGAACTCTGTCGGGTATAGGCAGTAACTAGCAAAATCAAATGGCTGAAGTCATGCAAAATCTCTAGATTGATCAGAGTTAGACACCAACACCATTGGATGCCGGCCCAGTGGTTCAGAGGTTAGGCTGGAGGCTAGGTTAGGTTAGACCGAAGGTCCTGGGTTCGAATCCTGCGACGTGCAGGAGTAGTGCATGCGCACTGCCGATGAGTCCCGTTCCAGAAGGAAACGGCCGTCCAATGCTTCCAGGTTTCTAATGGTGGTCTAATAATGGTTGATTAATGATTTAAATGTGTAAAAACACTATTCTCAAAAACTCTAATTGAAAAAATTGTGATAATCATTTAGACAGACCAATCAGCATCTATTATTGATCATATGTAGGTTAATAAAAAGCAGCATGTTTAACATTTTAAAAACGTATACAACAGTACAGTCATAAAAATAGGTGTAGAATATAAAATATTAAATAAATCGAATGATTTAATGCTAATCTTCATTGCAAACTGACGTTATTAGAGAGGAGCCATAGAAAATCAGGTAACAGTCGATAACTGTTTTGTTTTAATAAATGAACGACTCAATAGTGAACATCCATTACCTAGTGCAAGATTTCATAACTTTTTGATTTCTTGATAAGGATAATCTTTTACTAAAATTCATCAGTGATTGAGTATCTCTGAATTTTAATAAAATTAACTCCGTAAACTAAGCTTTCACACTTGTTATTAAGGTCAATCGATCTTGAAAGCTAGTTGTACGGTGGAATTTCTCAATTTGGTTAGTTATATAGAAGATAGTTTGTAATCTTGACATAATACTTATCAAGAGCTAATGTGCTCTGGAGAATGTGAGAAAAATTCCTGATCAGACTATCTCACTTAACAACACAGTGCTAACAGGAAACTCAGTTCCGTACGATACTGTTTAAAACTTGTATTATGTAGAAACTTCATTGATATTAGCGTACAAATATATTAGTGAATTTCATTTAACAATCACATTTGTAGATTCATTTTATCCAGATGAAATCTAATTTAAACAGAGTAACAATAGTCTATCCTTTTTTCATCTTACTTGTCAAGTCAAGGAACCATTGGAAATCAGGAGGCACTTAGTATATATTTTATTATATTCTAGGACTCCACGTGCTACATTAAAGGTCGAACTTAGGAGTCTATGGTTTCATGGCAAATCCTTAACCTTTAGATCATTGTATCAGCATTCACTGATTTACATTTTTGTAGCTTCAATCAATTCTCAATCAACTGTTGATTTATTGTTTCATTTCTGACATAGTTAAACCCTACTAGTCACGGTTCTTTGCTGAAACTCCAGGAATTACTTCTTTAAATTAATAAATATGTACATAACGAGTAAGCTGTTCAGTAATCTGACTAAAGACAGTTCAATATGTAAACCATCATAATTATGTTATTCTTTTTTACTATAAATCAATAATGATCAAAACATTCATTGAATACTTGTTATAGTAAAAAGGTGCTGATAAGTTTAAGAAGTAAATATTAATAATACTATAAATGTTGATACCCATAAAGGTAGTTGAAGACGATGGAAATTTCATGTTAGTTGGGGCCTACCAACAAAATGTGACGATAATCGGACAAGAATAATAGTTGCCTACATGACTTTAACTGGCATCATACTCAATCAGTAATGCAGAGCTAATAAGATCATTGTTGACTCTCATTTAGGATAAGACACTTACTATCATCAGTTACTGCACAGTAACTGAAATCATGTTTGACTAACCTTCAGCTTATTGTTAAAATCTCTAATTGTATCTTCGAGTTTGGTGGGTTTAAGTTTCAGTTTTATCAGATCTACCTAACTGATGAGTACTAGTTGGTATAAAATGTAGAAATGAAAACTTTTGCTAATTC